TGCTCTCTATGCTAGCCACTCGATAGACTGCCAATTCTTGCTCGTTAGCACAAACACCGCCTTGCCCTAAATTACCTCTAGAACATATCTAAATAGCGCCCTCCAACTCCTAAAATTGACGAAGTTACGGCCACCGACGTGGGTGGCCGATCCATCCTGTCGCGGAGTGTATACTTAGAGAGGCCGAGTGTGATTGGCAAATACAGAATACATATAAAATTCTTAGCTACGCAATAGTGTTAAATTAGGAATTATTTAATCTGAGGGTTAATTCTAATATGTAACACTTAGTGCCTTGTTAAAAGCATTTCTTACAGTGTTTTCGCTGACATTATCCAAGACAGCAATTGTGCGCTTGATTGTTGCAATCCTTTGTCTTTCGCAGTAGCTTTTTTGATGTATTCTCTTGTAATCAAGCTGACTTCAGCTTGGCCTTTAATGGGCCTATCACACCGACATCCAGCGGCTGACATACGGAGGTAGAGTTTTTTTTTGGCAGTTCTTGCAATTACGAGAAAAGCTCGCCAGCAACGATTCCCTTAGATTCGTCCGAAACGTGGCACTCTAGGTTGTCGACGAAAAGTACGGAATGATCCTCGATGAATGGTAGCATTACGGTACCCAAAGCAGGCCAAACATTACTATCCATCCAAACTTTGTGTTGAACAGCGTAAAAGTGACATCCGATAAAAACAAAAAAAGTAATAGAACAGTAAGAACTTTACCTTTGGGATAAGTAGCCCCCCCCCCCTAATGCAATTGTGCCATCTGGCTCACCTCTGCCGATAAACAAAAGCGGTAATTTTCTCCCTGGCAACACGACAGCGTTTAGTTTTAGAATACATACGATATTTATGTGTAGAACAGTACTGGCTCCTCGAATAGCACATACAACGGTCATATGAGCAGAGTGCTTTTGGGACGTGGTAATATTTGAAGGGCACCACGCTCGCACAGAATTCTGGCCGGCGGTGTGTCATAAAAGACACCCGTCTCATCAATGGTGACAATAACCTTTGAAGGCATGTCTCCATATTTAGTATTGAAAACCTCACTAAAAGCTTGCTGAGTTCAATCACGTTTTCACGATTTTCCTATTTTATCAAAGAATAGTAAATAGCATAAATAATTTACCTTTAACCCATGAGGTGTTCGCTGTACAAACCCATGGCGGTAGGCAAAGCGACGCAGAAGATGCAATAAAGAGTCGTATGCTGCTGCCGTGGCTTTCTCGTTCGTTGAATAGTCCGTTAGCCAGTCGAAGTAGTTTTTTTTCGGATAAATTGGGCCAGTCGTGTTGTAGTTAGCTCCTGGTAAGTGCGTCGTAGATCCTTCATGAAGACAACAAGCGCAGGGGAAAAAGGAATCGACTACGGGCGACCCGTAGCTAGCGCCAGCGTCTTCTCTGACCCTTTATAAGCCAATATATTTTCCTTGTCAGCTATCCAGTCGCTGAGCGATCGACGCGGAATGCCGAATTGTTTTGCTGCAGCGCGCACTCTTATTCCCTCATCTCCTTGTAATACTGCACGCTTCATATGAAACGAGTAGTGTTTCCGTCTTGCTATTCGTGGTGACTCGTCGGTCTCAGGATAAGCGAGGGGAGCCTGTGGCTCATCTAGAGGGGTGACGCTCTCCGCTTCCATGGAGGAATTAAGCAGTGAGTGGTGGTGATTAGCGCATTTCTTTTTTGTATTTGATTGGGTAAAAATGATTTTACTGACCAATATTATTGGCTAATTTGACATTGCTGTTGGAATTTGTCCGTCTGTTGGATTCCGTCCGTCTGTGTAATCGCTCGATGTTTCAGAAATTGACAAAATCGCCAGCTTTCGATTGGAACCCTTGGTGGCGTTTTGCTAGTCATAACACTTTCGCGATAAAAGGAAGATAAAGTCCCCTTTCTCTGCTAGGCTTCAACAGTTGTTCACTTTGGACAGATTGTCCAAATTGGACTCTTAATCTCAGGCTAACCAATATACGGTTAGGTGAACCCAAAGGATGATGCAGAACAAGCTCCTATTAAGAGAGTAGATGGTGCCAGTTCACCCAACGAAATCGCTGAATTCACCAACCATGCCGCAGATAAGGATATAAAGACTCCGATTGCCGTCAATTTCTTGGCCATTCCGAAAGAAAACCTCGAATCGCAATGACGAATGGGCGGTCTACGATGGAGAGCCGTTGTGCTTGTTTACATTTAAAGTATGGATGCATAAATGGTAAGTGCTTTGTTTGGAACTCATGAGCGTAGATTGCGTTGCTTTGTAAACAAATTTAAAAGACGGGTTCTCCAAACACAAAGGCTAAAGAAGAGAACGGAGTAGCAAGTGCACTCGCGAAGTTTTAGTCTTCGTAGCCTGTTACGTAGAGGGACATCCGTGCTTTTATATCGAGGAGCTTCAAGCTGAGCTACGCTGCAAGTTTGTACAACTCAAGAACGTCTCCGAGCATCTATCTGGCGCGCCTTGCGTTCCGATCTCAAATTTACACATAAGAGACTGACAAAGCGAGCCAGAGGGCCAGGCCTCACGAGCGATATATGAGGCTTAACTGATGCTATTCTACAGTTGTCCTGGTCAACTCGTATTTGTTGACGAGACTGCCAAAGGTGGCAGGTACGTATTTTCTGTAGGTCTTTTTGAAAATTGCTAGCTAACCAATGTGTTTTTATTAGGAGTGTGCTCTGGAAATATGGCTGGTCACAGTGAATGATGTAAAATATCAGGAGGAGATTAACTCGACCATATTCCTGACAACTACGCTCTGTAAATCAGAGATTTTTCAGGTATACCACATTTTCCCACGTGATGGACGTCTTTGTGAGCAATGATAATGGGTCCAGAAATTCTGGCCAAATTTTCACCGCTAGCATGCAAGTCCAGAAAAGGTATTTCACAGTTTCTACGTCTTCACAGCCGTGAGGACAAGTATCCGTAAATTTGTATTTCTTCCGTACACGTAGACCATTATGGTGCGTGCAGAATCTCTGATCACTAAGTATTGGTAGTACATATTTATCCAGAAATAAGTCTCTCTCTTTCACATGATTTCCCATTCGGGCGTCCCGTAGGCTGCATAGTCTCATCGCCGCGCAAAATATCTTCGTGTCTGGGAGAACTATCCCGCCTTTTGACAAAGGCCAACATAACCATTCCTCTGCAAAGTCTCCAGTGATAGTCATATCTGCTGATATCGTTTTCTTAAACAAGAACACCTTGCATAAATTCCGCACTTGAGAGACTTGTTTATCGTTGATGGCGGTTACCGCAGTAGTATATCACAAGAGTGGTAAAATTATCGTACGAAGAATGGCAGGTCGACCTCACACCGTCACCACTTTGGGGGTGATGCTATCTAGACGTGAACTAACTGGTAAGGTTGGACTTTGTGGTATTTCAAGGAGAGTAGTTTGACCATTATCAGGTACAGTGTAAAACGAGTTATCTTCGAGCAGTGTTCTCACTTCTTCACTCAGAGTCTGAAAGAGAAGCACAATCGTTTTATCTGCATTGAGAGTCAGACCAGCACTTTCCGCATACCCCCTACTGTATTTACGAAAACCCATGTATGCCGTAGATTATTGAGTATTCCAATACAATCATCAACAAATGCAATGGTATGGTGCAGTGATTTTGCCTGAGTGAGGCAAATTCCCAAGTGACTAGTCTTACTCCGTAAATAGTTCAATAATGGTTTGATGAACAATACGAACAAGGCAGGCGACAGCGAATATTCTTAGCGGACACCACATCCAAGTTCAAAGTACTTACTCGCAGTGTCATTAACCAAACCGTAACAATAGTACCGTAATAGAAAGTTCGCACTTCTTGACGAAATGTTTCTCCAAATCCATAGTGTTGTAACACCAAATCCAAAACAGACCACAATGCACTATCAAAGGCTTTAGCGAAATCTACCAGGATAGCTCCCGCATCACTAAGACCAGTATGTCTAGCATATTCCTGCAGATCTTGAAAAGTGATAAGTGCATGGCGTATAGATCTACCTTGCATGAATCCAAATTGGTCAGGATGAAGTAACTTGGGAAGGACACGTCGTAACCGGAATGCAAACACTTTGGGTCCGAATTTCGCGTCATGGTTAAGCAACGTGAGCGGCCTATAGTTACTTGGTAGCTGTCGCCGGATTACGGCAAGAGATCAAGATCGGGCTCTGTTGAAGTCCAGTGCGACGGTGCCGAGCCTCGGTGACAACAATGAGAGCGTGAGGAGCCTGCTGCAGTGTCTATCAATTTTTGGCGCACGCTGCAAGCTGAGCAAGTGGACGTTGGCACGCGCCCAACAATTGCATGATGTACATGCTGTTTGTGGCAGGAGGTAGTCGTAGTTCAGCAGCTTTCTTACGTGTTAGTTTCTCTTATTAATATTTTTTCTCTTTGGAAACACCTGGGTTTCGCGACGAAGCTAGCCTTGCGCTCTTCGAAGCGTGAGTTGTTTGACCCCGAGCGTCTACTCTCTGGTTTCTCCTCTTCGGTGCGCGTGGCGACCGAGTTTGTGCTGTCGTCTTCGGATCAAGACTATCGATCGCAGTCGACTAAGTACGACTCTTCAAGTTGAATTAAGTGCGGTTCCACTAGGTTCGACTTAAGTTCGGTTGAAGTAAACTGCAACTATGCCAAGCTACACGGTGGATTCCGATGGAGATGTGGAAATGCCAATTCCCCGGCCTATCTTTGAGGCCAACAAAGCGCCTGAACTCACCAGTTGGGACCATTCTACTCTGATTGAATGGCATCGTGAATGGGAGCGCTACGTGGAGAAAATTCGCCACCGCTGTACTACTACCGGTGAGACGTTCGAGAACGTCGTGGCCACCGTTAAGGGTTCAGTCAAGCGCAAGACGCTGAAGAACCTGGCCACCTATGTGCTGAAGAAGCACGTGGACTCGGTGACAGATGCTGACATCATGAGAGCTGTTGAGGCACGCTGCCGTACGCTCAAAAATGAGTTTGTCCCCGATGTCACATCTATGTTCCGCCAGAAGTTAAAGATGGATCTTTCTATTGACGACTGCGGCGGCGCGCGGGTGTTCCGCTACTACGAGGACTTCAATGGAATCGTGGAGGACAATGGCCTCCAAGGTTTGATCGGCGCTGGCAACGAGACCGACGCTGGCTACAAGAGCCGAATGAAAGCTCGCTGTCGGCTATTGGTCGAAAATATGCAGCCACCGGTGCTGAATTCCCAAATTAGCCGACTTATCGATTTAGAGAGGTGTGACTGTAAATCTGATGATGTCGCCCTCTTTGAATTGATACTGGAACACGCGAAGGTGCAACAACGGTTTCACCGAATGTCTCAGGACTATGCTGCTAAGTCCGATTCCAAGTCGGTGAAGTCAGAGAAAAAGCAGGGGGAAACGGGCAAACCAGCTGCGACGGCTTCCCCCACCAGCAACATTGGCGCCGCAAGGAGCTCCACAACCGCGCGTCCGTCTCGGTCTCCTCCCCAGGAAAGCTGTCTGGCCTGTAAGGGCCCGCACTGGCTCAAAAACTGTCCTTCTGCGACGGATGAACAGCGGGAAGAGGCGAGGAAGAAGTACCGTGGAGTGGAGGAGCAGCGCTCGGGTGCGTTACGCTCCAAGGCCGCAAGGTATGCTGTGCCTGGTGCTATGGTCCGCCTTAATGGCTTGCTTGAAGCTCCTTACGCTCCCGATACAGGCGCAGATAGAAGCATTATCCCTCCATGCTTTGTGAGTTCGCTACGTAACGTGCAGCCCTCGCTATCAACTACCCCGCTAAGTACGCCAGTGGATGCCAAGATGGCTGATGGGCGTAGCGTTCGGTGCAACGAGGATGTTCGGTTGGATTTGGAGCTGGTCACTATTGCGGGGACGGTTTCGATGAGATCTGTGGCCTGTGTCGTTCTGCCTGGCGATGGCGATGAGTTCTTACGGGGCCAAGACGCACTGAGGAATCTCGGTATTGACGTTGAAGCTCAGCCGGCCCAAGTAGCAGGACCATCCCTATTTACTGCGGACAATGATGACTTTCCTGTTGGTGATGGGCTACCAGAAAGGAGCAGCGAGCCTGACACGAATGCTGCACTCGGTGATCGGATGGTCCGTGAAGTGGCAAATGGACTGCCAGCTGAGTATATTGGAGTAGTACAAGAAACATTGACTGAATATCAAGACGTCTGGCGAAAGACAATTGGCCCGGGTCCTCCTGCTTTGGTTGAGCCTCTACGGGTGACTATCCAGGATGGCGCAGTTCCGCACCGTAGTGCACCACGCCGATATTTCAAGGTCAGTTTGTTTGAGAGTATGTTGGAAATCTGTTGGACAACGGCTTGGTAGTGCAGAACAACGCCTCTCGGTGGGCAAGTGCGGTGGTACCTGTCAACAAGCCCGGCTCTAGGGACAAGTTTCGGTTGACTATTGACAACAGGCCGGTGAACAGCATGACGGTGCCAATTGCAGGCTTGATGCCAACTTCTGTAACCACTTCGGGCGCTTTCTCGGGCAACAAGGCCTTCGCGTCATTTGATTTTACACAGGGACTTTGCCAACTCCCTCTGGACGAAGACAGTCGTGAGATGTTCTCATTCATCATGAAGGACGGCGTATTTACGCTCAATCGAGTCCCTCAAGGCGCTACGGACTCGGCCTTACATTTCCAAGGCGAGATGCAGAAGATACTGACTCCCCTCATCCCTCACTCAGCACTGATCTGGGTGGACGATGTGATCCTGTTCGCTGCGACGGTGGGCGAGTTTGTCCAAGTTCTCGGACAGTTCTTCTCGCTTGTGGCTTCCGCCAAACTCAAGCTGAACATGTCCAAGTCGAAGTTGTTTGAGGACGAGGTGCTATGGTGTGGGCGCTTAATTTCTGGTGCTGGAGTCCGTCATGATCCGGAAAGAGTTAGCGCATTATCCACGTTGCCTCTACCGGCAACGGTCGCAGACCTCCAGTATTTCGTGTGTGCCACTAACCGGCTTCAGGATTCACTCCCCGACTACGCCCGGACGATTGCTCCCCTCCAGGAGAAGCTGGTTGCGAAGAAGAAGCGCGTCGGAGGACGCAGCCGTAACGCTCCCAACGCCGCCACGACCTGGTCGACTGCTGAACAAGCTGCCTATGAAGCAATGCTGGCGCTGGTACGTGACTCGGCGCTTATGGCATCACCTAATCTAGAAGCTGAGCTACTAGTGTTCACTGATGCTAGTCTTACTGGGTACTCGGTCGTGGTGACGGAAGTGGTCAACTGGTTTCCGAAAATACCTGTGACTTAGCAGCAGCACGAGATGATCATCTGTAAGGACGGCACATTCAACCACAGTGAGTTGAGTTGGAGATCGTGGAGAAGGAATCTTTTCCTATAGTGAAGGCCTGTCAAGACTTGGAATATCTGCTGCTTCGGCCCAAGGGATAACGACTTTATTGCGATCACGCAAACTGGGTGTACTTTTTTGCGCCACATGATTCCCTCAAGAAGCATGTGCGGGAAAGGCTCCAGCGCTGGGCGATGCGCCTTGCGGCCTCCATTACGTGGTTGAGCACATTGCTGGAGAGGATAACCTCTGGGCGGATGTTGTGTCCAGATGACACACCCGTGAGGTGGCTTGTGTGGCTGCCGTGCACACACGTAGTCGCCATGCAGCTCCTATGGCCGCTATTTCTCAGCTTCGCCCTTTGGAAAATGATGGATTCACGTTTCCTACTATGGACGAGATTCGCGAGGCACAGACATTGGCTGGACAAGAGCACGCCCGCCTGCGAGTCACTCTAGAAGAGAGGATGGATGGTACGCTGGTGGTCGACGGACGACCATGGATTCCGAACGGGGCTAAAGAGCTCCTCGCACGGTTGTTCGTTGTAGCGCACACTGGTTCATCGTGGCCAGGATCCCATGACTACATTGCTGCAACACCGCTTCTGGATCTCTCGTACCAGCGAAAAGTGGCGACGTTCATTCGCGGGTGTTTGCTCTGTAAGCATGTAAAGGGTCCTCATCTCATTCCCCGACCATATGGACCAACTTACGTGGCGACGAAAAGAAATGAGGTGCTACATTGGGATTTCCTCTCGCTGAGTAGTGGCTATGGTGACACTTCCTACCTCTTGGTTGCTAAAGATGCGCTAACTCACTATTCTCAGTTATTCCCGTGTGTAACACCCACGGCTTTCGTCGCCGCGGAATCTCTCTCTTTGTGGTGTTCGAGATTTGGGATTCTAGACTTGCTCATGTCAGACCAAGGTAGCCATTTCCGGAATAAAACGGTGAAGCACCTGCGCTCTAGAATGAAGATCGAGCAAGCGTTCTCGCCTGTGTATTCCCCCTGGCTGAACGGTACAATGGAGCGGCTTAACAAGGACGTGATTCAAGTCTTCAGAGCGCTGCTATTGGAGTATTACCTGGACAAGCACGAGTGGCCATACCTGCTGCCTGCCGTTCAGGCTAACCTGAATCATAATCCAGTCCGGTCGCTTGCTGGACATGCTCCGGTAGAGGTGTTTGCGGGACTTCCTGCCTCGAGCGCGTTGGACGTGGTCGTGATTCCCCCCAGTACTTCGAGAATCGAGCAAGTTATTGAGCTGGGGAATATTAGCGGCTACATCGAGAGGCTCCGCAAGTCGCTACAGGAAGTACATCGTGAGGTCACCGATGTCAAGGAACGCAAACAACTGCAGGACATGAGAGCTCACAAGAGAACCCCTGCTAATTTCGATATTGGCGACTTCGTACTTTGGTCAAGAATCGACGAGCGATTCCCACGAACAAGTTGTTGGGCCAATGGATTGACCCATTCAGGGTTTCGGAGGCTTTGCTTCACTCATTCAGAATTGAGCATCGGATTACTGGGCGTGTGTACGAGGTACCCGCCTCTCGGCTTAAATTCTACGCAGATGCAGATCTCAACACCAGCGAGGAGTTGTTGGAGCTGGTCTCAAACCAAGGAATGGTGCTGAGTGTTGAAGGCTTCAGAGGCCATCGCTCCAATCCGCGGCTCAAGCGTTGAGAGCTACTCGTGGCATGGATGGGATTGGAAGCAATCGAGAACTCCTGGGGGCCGATTGCCACGCTACTCCAAGATGTACCAGTCAAAGTTCACGACTATGTGAATTCAAGTGGTGACGCGGATTTGCAAGCTCTGCTCGACTAGTCCAATGCACTTCAACCGTGCCCAACTTTTGCGGGCAGTGTCGTCAGATTACGGCAAGAGATCAAGATCGGGCTCTGTTGAAGTCCAGTGCGACGGTGCCGAGCCTCGGTGACAACAATGAGAGCGTGAGGAGCCTGCTGCAGTGTCTATCAATTTTGGCGCACGCTGCAAGCTGAGCAAGTGGACGTTGGCACGCGCCCAACAATTGCATGATGTACAGGCTGGACGACGCAGGAGGTAGTCGTAGTTCAGCAGCTTTCTTACGTGTTAGTTTCTCTTATTAATATTTTTTCTCTTTGGAAACACCTGGGTTTCGCGACAGTAGCGAACGGTCTTCATTCTTATAAAGTAAGGAGATGTATGTTCCTCTCTGGATTTCGTTATTCATCCTTTGTTGAACTGGGCGGCATATATCATCTCGTAAACTTGCACCCATTTTTCAAGAAAAAGTTGATAATATTCAGCCGGTACACCATCTAATCCACTAGACCGTACTTTCGCTGTCGCGGTTATTGCCCAGTAGAGATCATTTGCGGTCATTGGTGAGTCTAGATACTGTTTATTCACATCAGTTACATTCGCTGTCCTGTGTTAAGATTTTCCAATTGGCGAAAACCAACGTTTCAAAATATTTTGCTTAAGAACTTCAGATGGATTCTGAAAAATTTCACCCCAGTACTTTCTGTGAGCCGCTGCCATCATTTCCGGTTGTGCAGTGGTTGTATCGTCAGGTAATGTAACGCTAGGTATTGCAACGTTCATATCTTTGTGGAAGGGGCTACAGAGGAAATGTTTATTCCCGGTCTCTCCACATTTCACGTCAGAACCGAATTTTGCTTGTTCTCTTTTAGAGATTTGAGCCTCAATTTGAGCTGCCTAATCTACTTTCGCAGAAGTAACTTGAAGTCGGTTCGCATCTGTTGGAGTTCTGGCGTAGTCTACTTTGGCCTCGTAATGTTTCTGCTTCAACAACATCATGGTTTCTTTCTCCTGATTCTTAAGTGCTTGAACCATTTTTTTGAGAAATATTCCATTAGCTCGTTTGTGCTCATCTGACAGTGCCCCTGGGTTTGCAAAGCTGTCACATTCACATGCACAGTTAGTTCAACGTACCCAATAGAACCTTCTGCACAACCGGTTGGTTTTTAATCTATCGTGGACATTTCCATGGAAGGGGAGCTCTGAGTGGGTGATCTGGATATTGTAAGTGAACTCAAATTGGCAGGTGGTCTCCCGTAAAAATATCTGGTCTGTCACATATGCAATCCCGTTTAAGTAGTCCATTAACAGTGTAGGAGAGAGGAAACAGTAGTCAATACGGTTTCTCCGTCTCGGACCTGTAAACTCGCGACGATTTGGGTATGTACTTCTCCAGGCAACAATAACTCCAAGTCTTAGCTACCAAGATTGGAGTTCATTCCGCCCTAAATCGTGCCCATACGGAATTACTTCGTCCAGCATTGCGTCTAGAAAACCATTATAATCTCCTAAAACGAGATGGTGACTATCTTGCACAAAATTCGTCAGTAACAAGTTGATTTTTTTTCCGATCTGCCAGTTGGACCGGAGCATATACCACGAGAATAAATACCGTGAAATCATTAATAGTTGCGCGAATCACTAAATAGTGGTGGGTTAACATATCCCCACGAACATGCTGAGTCGTTTCGGAGGTTATATCTGTAATCGAGATGAACGGGTGTCTTCCAGAAAACAAGAGTCCCACTCTATCGCGGCCACGATTAACAGAAAAATCCGGTTTCAACTTGTGGGACCAGAAAACCTCTGATTTAGAATCAGCAACTTCAGAGAGATTTGTTGCCGCTCGAACTTTGTCACTTAAGCTGAATTTCGTTTCTTGGAGAGCAATAATAGAGTATGTAGAGAGAAGTTGATGAAAAAAAGTGTACGTTTGGATCGTTCAATCCAATGACGGTCATCGTGATACCATCAAGGCACCATGTCACCCTAGAGGTAAGACGTGCTGATCATTCCCCCGTCCACATTTGAGTTCTCCAATGTGTTCATATCCACATCTTCTTCGTCCGAAACAACGTACTCCGTGAACATACCGACCACAGATTCCACATGATCTGGTAGATTGTGTCAAAGTGCTCACCAAGCTCGCCGGACCACAGAGCTTGAAGTACTTCATCTGACCACATGAGGAAGTGCGAATATTGCAAACAGTCTGGCTTGCTCGTGCCTGCTAAAGCAGCACCTTTAATGGGGTCGTGGTTATGGTAGGGCCATGGCTTCGTAGATACAGATCTGTTAGCGCATAAGCACATTCAGTATCACAGACCTCCGAGTCTGGGTATACTTTTTCCGAAATTTCTTCGGCCGGAAGAATTAAACTGGGAAAGTCAAATTTCATCCGCGATAGCAAATTCCCGTCTGTGCCGTGGGATGTACAGGGTGCTCCAGCATAGGCGCGCAGCACAGTATGTTCTTGGACCGCCGCCTGAGAAGGAGGCTACACTCATTCACGATCACTTGTATTGCATGTGCGGTGATTCCAGCCAGGCAACTCTCGGGGCCCTTCAGCTGCGCAAAAGCAAGCTGAGTACTAGCCGCCATCTTTCTCAGCTTAGTTCATTCCATGTTTACACGAGGGACTTGTAAAAACGAGTTGGCTGAAATGAGACTGCCGACCGCTGGTGTCGGTTCATTGGCGCAGTCGACACGATGCCATCACCAACAAAGATATCAGCATCTGTGTCCTCTGTGTCGTCCTCGTCGTCTGAGTCGTTGAAGGCGATCTCGTAACGTGTTGGAGTACAGGGAATACCGAAATCCATTGTGTCATCCTCGTCGTCTGAGTCGTTGAAGGCGATCTCGTAACGTGTTGGAGTACAGGGAATACCGAAATTCATTCGGTTCCTTGAGCCTGAGGTACCTCGTACTGTATACCACTTAGTCGAGTCCCGGGCTTCCGGATCAAGATTCCACACGCTGCATCGACCCAATCCTGGAACGGAGCTTCGTTTCCCGGCTTTGCCACGCCTAGTACGGGGTCTTGGGATACTTCAGAGGTGTTGGTTGCAGTCGTATTAGCTGTTTCGGCTAAGGGGGGTGTCGGCACATGACCTGTCTCCACATCTGGTCCAATTGGGTCATCTGTCGAGGTTGGTCAGGCGATAGCGACGTCCCTCGGTCTTGCGATCTTTCTCGCAGCAATAGAAAGAGGGATGATGTTCAGGACATGATTCTTATGCTGAACAAACACTGGTCTCGCGAATCCAGGGGGAAAATCTCTCTCTACGCGGTGGTGTCCGTTAAGATGAGGGGTCTTGGGCATGTTGTCGAAGGAAACCACACCGTCCTGTCACGAGACATCAATGCTCCGACTTGATACGTAGGCGTGGTCAATGGGGTTAAATCCGAGCTTGGACAAGAAATCGTAGATCTCTTCATCATCGAGATCGGATGGCACGTTCTTCAAATTCACGAAGTACATCCGGTCGAATGCACTTGCGGCCTTGATGATGTAGTCCGAACCAAAAATTCGGACCCGCAGAGCCACCTAGCTTGGCAGACATGTTACGTGACGTGCACATGAAGCGTATACCACGTCCAGGAATGCGAATAAAGTCACAGAGCGATGACGCAGCCGAAGACCAAGTAGTCGTCTGTGGCGCCTTGTTGATCGCGGCCAAAATTTCATCGAGTTGATGATATTTCGCTAGCTGTCCGGCCGAGATGAATAACTTGAGCTTGTCGTCCACCAGCACGCGAGCACGCTGCACTTCACGTAGGGCGATCAGCCGTAGATCAGCGCCGCCACCGTCTCTCGCCAAGGCGTCGTCCAGCGTCTGGAGCAACGACTCCGGTGGGGCGTAACGGCCGGGGCGAACCGTCGCCGGGACGACCCGGCTTTCGGATGGATCGGATGGCCCGTTCGCGGCTTTGCCGCGTGGAGCACGAAGCAGGATCGACGTGGGGGAGTGATTGGCGGGTGTCGACATGTTCTTTGGGCTAAGGGAGATGTGAGATGTCGGATTGGGAGCTGGTAGAGGCCTGTAGGCGGATAATTGGTGGTCACAAAAAGAGACCTTTGCCCTGTGTGATATCACTTGAGGGGTTGGCGGTATTTTCGGGACTTGATAGTTCGTTTGGTGCTGTCTCAACAAATAAGAATTAAAAACATGATTTACCTCCGAAAAGTGTAGATTATTTCCCTGATCGTGTGAGAACATCTATGAAAAACTCAATCATTAGATAACTTAACTCATTTCCACTGCCTATATTTGCTTATCTCCCTTACTTGATGAAATCGTGTTTATTTAAATCCAGAGTCAGCATTTTGTAAAGTCAAATTTGACACTACTTGTCCAAAATATGGATCGGCTACCAGTGCCTCTGTTGTTTGATCACCGGAAGGACGTCCGGTATTTTCCGCTGGTTGAAATCCTGTTAGTTCCAGGTAATTTGGCATTATTTAGAAAATATGTGGATATGTCCAGTATGTAGCTGAGTCATTCAGATAAGAATCTAATGAAGATACGTATCATTTGAATGTTGGCGTTTTGAGAGGCGTATTCAACACTTACCAGTATGTTCTCGAGTACATTCCGATAGTAAAAGTAGATCGACAATATAAGGTAAACCATGCATCGCTGTTACTGCATCTCTTCCTCATGCTGGGGATCTCATCTCGATTGGTTGTGGCTACCATTGAGACAAGCTCAAGCAATGCATCTCTGAGAGAGATGTATTATATTATTGACGAGCGGGCCAGAGAGATCATCTCTCTGCCCAGTTCCTCTGCAACCCTTTTTGCCTTTCCAGGAACTCTGCCGCTTCACAAGCGAGAGAAATCGGTCGGTGACAGCGTACAGAGTGCACAACGAGCAGATGGAGCGAGCCAGAGCGCTCTAAGATGGCACGAATGCTATACGCACCACGCACGTGTTTCCAAGCAGCACCGCGCCAGCCAAACGCGAACAATTCCAGCAGCCGGTCTAACCTCATGGCATTCGCGTTAAAGCTGCACGTCATGCTGCGGCCTGGCTCGTCTTCCATGCTCAAGTCGACTAAGCTGGCAATGATATCCGTCCCAAATGGAAGGAGACGGCAAGGCTTGAATAGAAACTGTAACGAGTTGCAAGAAGCATGTAAAGATACTTTCCCCAATTCTTCATGCACTATCACAATCACAATAGTTGCACGGCAATCCACCAGCGGGTAATCTCCTCCAGTTCACACGGGAGAAGCGCAGCGTCAGGCATCACCTTTAAAAGCTTGGAGTGGACTCCCCTGTGGAGTCTCCATTGTGCAGCTGGATGCAGCGCAACCCTCTACGACTGGCACTGTCAAGGCTCCGTGTGCTCTGATCGTGGCTCAGCACGACTAACACCACGTGGTGGCGGTGTCAAGGGCGACTAGCTCAGTATCGCTGGTAATCAAAGGACCCCAGCCACACAATGAGCACTTTGCCATGTGGCCGTGCCACCTAAGGAGGATGCAAATGTCAAAATATCTACACGCAGCAGTAGTGAACCTTTGAGGCAAATGCTGCAGCACAGCTCCACGACAATAGAGACTGCCACACCTTACCGCCCGCCGCGTTGTCGACGAGCATAAAGCCTGGACGATGGCAGCGCAAACAGTCCGCTGTCCTCCCGGTGGGGATCGAGAGTGCGCATTTTTGCTGTGGTAGAGTCTCTGTTGGCAACTTGCCGACGGGCAGGAGACCTCTACCATTTTCGCCCCGCCTATGTTCTGGCAAAAATCGATTAATGACCAATGAGAGATTGAAATTTGTGGAGCAGCGTCGGTTCGCAAACTGGGGCAACGCCACGATTTGATAGTGCGTGATCTGGCTCCTTTCCCTGATGGTGTTTGTAGCGCCTTCTCCCTCTTTCACTCCCAAGTTTTCTCGCAAAACGGAAGGCTAACCGACTGGAACAACCTTTTTGCTTCCTCGGTATTTGCATCGACGCGCCTCAGGAAAAAAAGCGATCGATCACCTTGCAACAAGCTAAAGGCCAACAGGGAACGACCGCTACAGCAACCTAATCGGATCAGACGCGTGAACGTACTTAGAGGCGGAGAGCGCAAAGCAACAGGGAAAAAAAGCAACAACAGGCACCACACTCTCGATGTGGCCGAAACTCGCAGTGGCCGGCGCGCTGCTGCTCATACAGGGCGCTGTTGCCGATGGTGCGTCTGAAAAACACACAATGACAAAATGAGAAATTAATGGTATTTGGAAATGCTGACAATGTGGCAACGATTTTTTTTTTTTACTTAGATTGCGCGTACACGGTGAGTGTTTTGGACATTGCGGGCGTGCAGTGCGTCTCGTCAGCGCCATGCTCTGGAACGTACTACGCGTCGGGACTCTCACAGGGCGTGGGCGCCTGCCCCACCGGAACGAGCTGTGCATTGCTGCCGGAGACGCCCATTATGGGGTGCGCTGCGTCGGGACGCACAGACCTCATTTACGTAAACTCGGACGGCACGTTGACCAAGGACGGCAAGTCGGTGACACTTTCGGGCGCTTCATCGAATACGGCGGACTCGACCACGACGGCGCCTACCACTAGTAACACGAACAGCGCCACGAGTAGTAGCTCCAAGAGCACCAGCAGCAGCTCCACTGCTAACAGTGGCAACGGCAGCAACGACAGCTCATCCACTGCTGACAGTAGCAATGGCAGCAACGACAGCAATGCCAACTCCGGCTCGGGCTCCACTACCGCGTCGGGTTCAAACGGTAAGCCGTTTGGTAGCTGTTAAATTGCCACCACTAGAGCTTCATAAATTAATCATTACGCGGTTATTTTGCAGGCTCCGATGCAACTGCGGACAGCAGTAACTCGACGGCAACTTCCGCCTCATCGGCGGCCAACTCCAGTAGCTCCACGTCCAGGTCGTGGCGTTCAGACTCCGGCTCTGGCAGCGTGACCATCTCGCCCGGCAGCAGCTCGGCGAACCAGCAATCGTTCAACCCCGGGTCCATTCTAAGCGACGGCTCGAACAAGACCAAGTCTGGGGATGGTGGTGGCCTCGGCATTGGCTCTATCATCGCCATTGTCGTGGGTTGCTTAGCGGTCGTAGCTATTGCGGCCGGCGCGCGGCTGCTGAGGAAGGGCAAGGAGGCTGAGCTGGCAACGCCTGAAGCACCAGGTGCGATGGAGGGCTATAATAACGGCGGCGGCGGTGGCGGCATGACTCCCAAGGAGAACGTGCTGCTGCTCTAAGTTATGGCCGGGAGAAAAATGACTCTCCAAGCAGACAGAGGAGAATACAGTGACTGTGCAAAACTTTTTGAACATGGGGGGGGAGGCGAGCGTTGGTTGCGTGGACCTAGTGAATACAAGTACTTGGCGGCCCAAGGAAAAGAGGGGAAGAGAGGTGGTGGCGTTGGGTGTTTAATGTCTATAGATGCTTGGGGCCGTAGTAGATTTTGTCGCCCGCGCGAATAGTTTGCTCTTCACTCACGCTGGCAACAACTAGACAGACGCGCTATGTCGTCCTTGCCTCGTCTTGCTCTTCTTTCACTGCTGCTTCTGCTACATTACCACCGACTCCAGAGTCTATAGCATTGACGACAGACACATGAAGAAATTCCAACAATGGCATGTCTTGCCAGATGGGTAGATATCATCGGTCAGTAGATGATATGTGCCCTAAAGGTGCAGAATTTCCAGTTACAGTCACAGCCTGTCTCCATATCTTTCGCTTAGGTAGACTTGGTCTTCACCGCCGCCTCGTTCGCCGCCTTGGCTTCCTTGAGCGTGAAGAGCTTGGCCTCCGGGTCCACGACGCCGTAGTTGGCGTAGAGACGTCCGACTCGGAAGAAAGCCGTGATGATTGGCTCGTCGCTCTTACGCACGAGCTCGGGGAAAGCCTGGTGGAAGGCCGCAGTGGCTTTCTTGAGTTTGTAGTGCGGGATGATAGGGAAGAGGTGGTGGATCTGGTGCGTGCCGATGTTGTGGCTCAGGTTGTCAATAAGCGCTCCGTAGGATCGGTCCACGGACGAGAGGTTTCCCTTGACGTACGTCCACTCGGAGTCTGCGTACCACGGAGTTTCCTCGTCGTTGTGGTGCAGGAAGGTGGTGATCACCAGCATGCTACCGAACACGAAGATAGGCCCGTAGTAGTAGATTGCCATAGTCTTGAGGCCCAACTGGAGGCTCAGATAGATGGAGAGTCCCGCCACGAAGAAGTGGGCGAGGAGAGAGATCACCACAGCCGACACCTGGCGCACGAACAGAGGCTCGAACGGGTTGAAGTGGTTGACCTTACGAGGCGGGAAACCCTCGATCAAGTAGGCGAACCACGCGGCACCGAGCGCCAGGATGAGATTGCGAGACAACGGGTGGTCATCGGCCTTGCGTTGCGGGTAAAAGATCTCATCACGGTCGATGTTGCCCGTGTTCTTGTGGTGGTGACGGTGCGTGAGCTTCCACGACTCGAAGGGCGTGAGGATGAGCGAGTGGATGAAAGTGCCCACCACGAAGTTGAGCAAGTGGTAACGCGAGAAGGCGCCGTGGCCAGCGTCGTGGCCCACCGTGAAGAAGCCCCAAAACACGATGCCCTGCAGCAAAATGTAGCCCGTGCAGAGAGCGGCGTCCAGAGCCCACAAGTTCTCGACCACGGGGAGTCCGCGAGCGTAGTTGAGACCGAACGCAAGAGCCACGGCGATCACGAGACAACGCACAGTGTAGTAGAGCGACAGAGGCACTGAGGCCTCGAAGTACTCGCTGGGCAGCGACCGCTTGATCTCCGTCAGGGTCGGGAACACATACGCCTGCTTCGTCGCCATGGTGCTCGAGGTCTCAGACGTCTCTGATACTCCGCACGTGCTGGAATGAGCTTTGGCTGGACGTGTGGCTGCGAAACCACCGGACCCATGACTCAGTTGAATCCATAGTTAGAGCAAGTGCACCATGATTGTGAATTATGCAACTTGGTATGATGTCACGGCACTGTCTAGGAACGCCGTGCACCAGTCGTCGAAGAAGCACCGCACAGGTCCCGCATCATGAATCATGCTGGAAGAGGCACTTATCAAATGTGCAAATGTACTTTATTTTGTTGCCATGCAGTGTAGTTTACCGACCGAGATGCAGAGATTTTTTTTTTTTACTTCAAGACTTGATTAACTAACGGAAGGGCAGCACCACCTCATGCTGCAAAATATCTTCGGCGAGAGGCCGCTGCAGCGCGTCCGGATGCATCATACTGGCAATCAGGTGCTGTAGCGAGTTGGAGTATTGTCTGTGGAGCAAGATAGTTAGCATCATGCTCGTGGTGATGGCCAATGGTGAGAGACGTACCGGAACATGACGAGGTCTCCATCGCGGATCTTCTGCCATTCTTCGCCGCCACTTGCCAGCGTCGTTCCAAGCGCGAGTTCATAGATCGTGGCTCCCAGAGCGAAGATATCGCCGGCGCGTAAATTATTCCTATTGCCTTCGAGCAGTTCCCTTTGACACACCCAGTTCAGTTAGCTTGCTTAGCATCGTGCATGTAAATGCACGCGATATGGTGCTTACCGACTAAGATATCGGTTATCGCCCTCTGTGATCTCCATGCTGCCGTCAAGATGAGCGACAGTTCCCAAGTCGCCCAACTGTAAGAGTTAAGGTTACAATTGTTAGCACAATGACTAGAGACTAGACACATCCGTAACAACGCGTAACAAACCTTGTACACCTCCCCTGGTCCAACCAGAACATTTTGCAGCTTGACATCCATGTGAACCATTTTCTTGCTGTGCATGTCGTAAAGAGCCTGACATACAAACGATAGTTAGTTGCGTTAGTCAAGATCGACAACGATCGCGCAGGTGGTCGCATTACCTGCGCTAGATGACACAGAAGCTTGCACAGCGTTTCTTCTGGAACCTTGTGAGGTGCATACTTGTTGACAAAGCCAGCCAACGAGCAGCCCTCCAGGTTTTCGAGCTGGATGTAGAGTAAATCGTCTTCTATCCAAGCGTCGAAATACCGAACAACGTGATTGCTACTGCTCAGAGCTGCTAGTGCTTGCACTTCCCGTAGTGCTCGCTCACTGTAGAAAGCCACCACAACCGAGGTTAGCGCACATTCAAATAGGTACCAGGTCCCATCGTAACGTACGTGTCTGCCTTGCCACGGAAGTGCCGCTTGCTCTTCTTGACGGCGTATACCCAGCCGTCAATCTTCTTGATGCACTTGTATACTTTAGAAAAAGACCCTGAGCCGATCAACTAGCAAGCGCAATGCATCCGCAGTGTTAGAATATGAATTTCCACCATAACGACAGCTTCAACCAGGCAATAGTTACCCCCAGTTCCGAGAAATCCGACAGATACTTGGACACCGGCGATCCATTCTTCGCTGCGACCCATGCCGACGGAAAAGATCGTCGTTTACGTCTAGAGATCTTCTTCTTTCCAGACTCCGTCGTCGGCTCCGGTGCAAACGGGTTCACATAACTCTCCTCGGACAAGAACGACGCAGCTTGCTCACTGCAAACAACAACAAAAAAGGTCAACAACATGTCCACTTCGTTCCATATCTTCACAAGTAGAAATCACCTGTTGGGTCTCGCTCTCTTGGCATTTACCACCACATTGACTTTCGGAGATCCCGTATCCATTGACGATTGACTGGAAAAAGATGGCAAGCCCTTCCGTGCATGCCTCACTTCCATGTGTGTCATGTCCTGGGTAAGATTCTGCACCTGTTCCTCTTGAATTATGTCTGCTCCGCTATTAAGTCTCGGTCTCTTCTTCAACGGTGACGGTGTTGTCGGGTTCGACAGCGGAATAACGGGTTGATCACGAGGAGTGAGGAAGTCCATGTCGTCCTGGCTGTACTGTTGCATGGGAGTGGCCATTCCGGGCGTGTAGTAGCCCTGACTGGTGGGTGGCAAACCGAAGCGCACAGGCGTGTGTGCGGGCTCAAAGTCCGGCTCGCTGCGCTGGCTGGAGCAGCCCGTAAAGTCGATTTTCTTGGGTCTGGGCCTACGCGTCCCGCTGTCGCTGTTCTGCGAGGCAAGGAGCATCGGTTCCTCGCTACTCTCGTCGTCCATCACATCGTAGTCAATACGCTTTTGTACGGGTACAGACTCTTCCTCGCCGTCCTCCATGGCTGCGGAGCTGAAGCTGTTGCCCTTGGCTGATGCCTCCAGAGACCGGCGAGCCTTGCGCAGTTTGCCAACGCGCTTGTGGTCGGCCGACGACTGCGAGAAAAAATCGTGGATGGAGCGCTGCTTCTTGGCGCCGCTGGACGCGCCACCGCTTGACGGTTGCGACGAGCCGTTCGTCTGCGTCTTCCTGCGCAGGGCATTGAGCAGCATGGCACACGGCAGAGACGTTCCCACTCAAAAAGTGAGCCCAAAATGACAGTGAAACGTTTTCCCGCCTTTTCCGATGCGTTTTGATAGGCTATTGAATGTGCTTTGACAGGTGATACTATTTCGTGTCAATTATTGTTTAGCACTTTAAATTTTTAATTTTAAAGAGATCTACATTTGATGAAAATATTAATTGAAAGCGAAAAGGTGAAAAATCCAGTCAAGAAAGAAAAACCCAATGCATTTAGACCCAACCCCAAAAGTGGGTTTTTGAAAAGTGTATCCATCCAGGGGTGGGTGGATTGACTTAATTTATTGGTAATTTTAAATTCCAACTTACGACCTATAAATTCTGTCAATTCACCAATACATTTGTTTCAAAACCCAGCAATTTGGGATGGTTTAAAACGATTTAACCCGCAAAATATAAAGACTTGAATAAGACGCAAGCCAATATTTTGCTAAGTTTTCTTGTTGCGAAAATTGAGTCCCTGGAAGGGATTTAGCAACCGACTTTGCCGCTTGTTGCGCTCCTGTTCCTCCGCACGTTGCCGCTCAGCCTCAGCTTCTCGAGCAATATCGGCGGCTTCTTGTTCTTGACGAAGTTGTTCCTGCTGCTCAGCTTCTAATGTGCCTTCCGCCATTGCCACTTGTACAAGTTCCTGCGCGTCATTGCAATTTAGTGCGGTGGCAAATTCAATATCGCTTCAGCTATTGAAGACACGCACCTTAAGCCCCATGCGATCTCCTACGAGGCGAACAGGAAGTGGCTTCTGTCCATTGTCGCTAGCAGCACGACGACTGTATTTGGCGGACGCGTAGAACTCACAGATTTCACAGTCACGAAAGACACGACAAAGGCGACACGGTCCGTCAAGTGTTTCTGCAGTGCCACGACCAAACTTGCGGAACGATCGCTCGTATGCGTCGTATTGGCGAAGAATTGAGGCGTGGTCGGCATCAGCTTGGATGGCGCGGAGATAGTAATCATCCAGCACGCTGCAACGAAAGTGAGGTACTAATGGAAACGGCATTGTATTGCAACTGAACGCACCTTTGGGTCGATATAGGAGACATGATTACCAGTGTGGCGTCTGTGCTACATTGTACAGCACCAACTTTGCCAACATATTTGAAGGCCGAGTAGACGCCAAACACTTCTACTTGTGCGAAATGGAGGAAGTTCTTGTTTTGCAGCTGTACCCGGACGAACTGACCCACCGCATTAGCTGTTGGAAGTATCCACTCGGTCATACGCTTGTTGGTTCGGAACAACTCGAACGCACTTGACTGCACTTTTGCTGCTCGCAGACTAAATCGTTGCAAATAATGTTAGAACTAGAATCAACGGTGAGTAGGAATATAACGTCGAGCAACTCGCCCTTCTTTGCCTTCCAGATCTTTGAACGCAAATTCACTCACGAAGACCCAGCACGGAAACAAGCGGCCGCTGTACTCGGATCTGCTTTTTGACGGGTTTAACGGCTCATCCGTCCGGTTCCACAGCTTTACAGTTAAACGTGAATTAGTTCATTGTTCAGACTACACGAGCAAACAGCCTTACCCGAATTTTCTCAATGACTGCAGGTTGTCCAAGGTCGACTTCCCACCATGGTTTGTCTTCCATCTAGCACAAGCAAGAAGCGAACTAAATCAACGAACAGTGAAAAAAACAACCGCAACAACGAACGTACCTGAGTGTGGGTACAAGTAGCTAAAGCGCCCTCAATATCCCCATTGACTGCTAATTGAGGTCCCTGCTCGTTGTAAATACTGATTTGACGACAGATTTTGCCTAATGCGAGGTTATAAGGCTCCACATGGAGGCACTTTAGGAGCTCCGGTTTCTCAATAAATCGACGCTGCATCCAGTACAACTCACATCGGTAAGCCTAAATAACCCACATCAAATGCACTTGTTCATCACTCACACTCGCATCGTGACCCGTGCAGCCATGATAATTTCGACCCCACGTGTAGAGTTCTCCATAAGACGAAACAGCAGCAGTATGGCTACCACCACACGACACCTGACGAACACCAACACCATCCAATTGCGGTATTCGTTCCCACGATAACACGTACCGACTTAGTGCAGTTGCACCTCCGCACACGTAGACTTGGCCACCAAGCAGCTTTTTGCTCCCTCCGTTAAATTCGGACGTCACCTCAGTACAGAATGCTGAATGTGCCGTCCCACATGACACTTGCCATACTCGAATTTTCTTATTGACGAGATCTCTCACTAGTGTTGGGACAACTACAATGTCGATTACGTGTTGACCAAGACCAAGACGCCCTCCATTTGCCGAACCCCACATGAACAGCTCCCCCGCTGTCGAGACTGCTCCAGTATGTGAAGGTCCACATGATACTGATCGAATCCTGCGTTTCCCCGGGAATTTGACAAGAAGTGGCGTCATTGAATACTGCTTGTACTCGTCCTCCACAATACCGACTCCCAGTTTCCCAGTACATGCTGACCCCCACGTGTATAGTGAACCTTCCGAATCAATAGCTGCACTGTGGGAAAAAGAGCACGAGACTTGACGAAGATTTAAACCCTTCAAGTTATCGTGTAAGAGCTCTGTAAGTAGTTGGAACAGTTAAAAATGCAAGAGTGCGTACATTGAATGCTTGGACACGTTGCGGATGATTTGAGTCAAAGCAATTTGCTCCTCGCTCATTTGGTTGAAGGCCAAGACGTCCGCTCGAACCGATTCCACAGGAGTAAAGAGATCTGCGGAATAGCATGCCACAGGTAATGACATGCAATTCGATAACAACATAAGATTCTGTACCCGTCTTGCGTCAGCAATGCCACATGAGAACCTCCTGCTGAAACACTTGCTATGGCCTGTGAGGATGAAATGAGCACTTCGTAATGAAACCCATTCGCAGCTAGAATTCATTCACTTACTATTGAACCTCGAGGTGAGTGTAGTGGTGGTCCTCTGCACAAAATTCCAAGATCAGGCTCGAATCACATAGGTCCAAGTACTACTCCAACATACCTGGTTGTAATGCCGCTCATCTCAATCCGCGAATTCTCTCCTCTAGTAGTAAATTCTGGAACCATATCTTCCATCTGAACAACTCTTCGAGCAGCTCTTGACTCGTATGCGCGGTCCTGTAACAGTTGGAACGTGAAGGTGGTAAGAGCATATTTTGTATTTCGAAAGGCAAATGTACTCACCGCACGGTTTATCTTTTCAATAACTCTGGCTCTTGCATCCTCTTCTTCCTTGGCATGTCGACTCTCTCGCAAGGTTTTGACGTCTTGCCACTACAAACGACAAATGAGTATTCGTCACATGCAAGTTATTAAGTAGATACTGATATCACCTACCTCCTGCAACATCTTATCTTTTTCCTAAGCCACCAATGTGCACAATAGTAAGTATCTTTGAAAGTTGTGGATAGCCGGCTAACATACCGCTTGGAGCATATTCGTTTGCTTCTCTTGGATACGTTTTTTATCTTGACTGTATTCCTGCTCAGCAATGGTTGTAAGCCCAAAGCATTGATATCTAAACTGTGCCGTTTAAGACGTACATTGATCACTCTTTCCATTTCCTTAAACGCAGCGTGTCCAGCCTCGCCCTTCACTTCGATTTCCAGCTCAAAGCATTCTCCCAAAGCGAGAGATAAGTCCATTTTGGTGATTTTCTGAAACTCAAGACCACGAAGTTGGCCTGACGTAACAAGCTGCTCGTATTCAATCTTAGGTAACACAACTTGTTCCATAAACAGCAATCGAGTCGCGTTGCTAGGAGGTGGCTCCCACACGTCGTAGTACATAGCTACTCGCTTCAGCCTTCAAGCCAAACAGCAATGATCAGAACTAGCAAATAATTCCATTAATGCTAGGCACGTACCTTTCATAGCGTTGGTTCTCCTCGTTTTGACGGGCTTCGATCTCTAGAAGTACTTCTTCCCTCGCTTCCACGTCAGGATCTCGCAGTCCTTCCAACTGTGCACATATCATTAGACAAGTATTACATCACCCTACATTCCAGTCTTACCTGCTCGGGTGTGCACATCTTTTGTAATGCTGAACGAGGAGTAACCTTGGTTTGCATACCAAACTCGGATATCTTTTTATCTTTCTCCTGGCCAGTATCATCAATACTATCGTCCGAATCACTATCAAAACCAGATACTCGTCGATTAGACGCCTCCCATGTACTACTCCTTCCTCCCCAGCTGAATACACTGCCCGAACTTGTGACAGCAAAGGCGACACTGTCACTGATCGCACCTTGCACGACACTTTTACCCCACAACGGCCCCGTATTTGTCATCAAAGTGGTAGATCGAAACCTCAGGCTTCGAACAAACTCTCGATTCTCAAAGAACAGCTTGGCCAATTCCTCCTCTTCTTGGTTGTTCTCGTCATGGGTTATTTCTACGACTTCAGACGAATTCGTGGGACTGTTCACTGCACCCTTCTCTCCATCGTTGCGTTCATTAGCGTTATCCATCTCACGAGATATCGCTCGGATAAGTATCTTGGTCTCCGAAATTGTCTGTTTGTTTAACCTGGGGGGACTTTGAAACTTCCAGCGCTTATTCTCCACTCTCCGACGCACATACTTGGACGCTGGAGCATTTAGTTGATTTCCAGGTGGGGGATCTGTGTTCTTCACTTCTTGGTTTTTTGGTGCTGACTTGTTAGCTGCTTCAGGGCTCAGTTCAGTATCTTTCGCTTGCTTGTGGTCTGTCGTTGCTGCTTTCGGTTTTATTGTATGGACTTCTTGAATGATTGGATTCACGCGGTAAGACCAGATCTCGCTCACAGCCTTGAACCCTGGAAACAGATCTTCATCTCGAGTGACGGGGTCGTCAATAAACTGGTCGTATTTGCCACTTCCTATTATGTACACTTGCCCCGCCGCGTCCAGGGCAGCTGCCAACTCGTCTTCAGCCCGTACGATCGCCTTGCGACCCAATTGCTCTCGAAGTTCTTTATCACGCTGTCGTTGTAGGAACCTCTTAGCTTCCTCGAGTGCCGCTGCTTCTCGAGCTTCTTCTTCATCCAAAATCGTTTCTAGCATTTGCTGCAGTTTCACCAATCGTGTATGTTTCGGTACTTCTACCCCTCGCTTCGTGAGTTCTTCTCGCACATCCACCAGTTTGATCCACATGGAACGAAACTCCTGGTAATCGATGTGTCCACTCTTGTCCTTGTCATATTTTTTGAAGATTTTCTCCTGCTTTTCGTCGCTTACATCCATGCCAAAGTATTCCAGCACGTCCTGATCACAACCGCCATTAGTCCAAGAGTCCTACGATATTTTAATATCAAATGCATCACTGACTGCAAACTCAAGCTCGTCGATCTGTCCAGTGCCATCTTCATCAAATAGCTCGAAGGCATCACGAGGACCCAATAGTGTCGACGGAGAGAAACCCAATGGGTTACCCGACACAGGATCCACAGCAAACATTGCCATCTTGAATTCGGTGAGATCAATCTCGCCACCGCCGTCAGTATCACATTTGCGGAATATTCGCATAGCTTTTGCAGCCGAGATGGAGATCCCCAGATCCGGCAGCTACAATATCAATAAGTTTAGCCGCAACAACAACATTATCAATAATACTATTCAGTTATACCATAGCCAGGAACTCGGGAGCTGATATATTTCCTGATCCATCTGTATCGTACTTCTTGAATAAATCCTCCGGCGATAACTACGTGGCAGTTGACATTGTCATCGTGGGTACACCCTGTCCCTCTCATCCTGCTCCTTACCTTCGAGTTTAGTACTGCCACTTTCCTCTTCTCAGCTTCTGCTGCCTCTTTCTCGTCCATTTCCTCGTCCCCGCCGTCCTTCGCATAGCGATCGATTGTCGCGTCATCGTCACTGTCGTCGCTGTCGGCGCCGAACAGCTCCAGATCTCCGCTCTTGCCTTTCAGAGGTGATGCAGTAGTCAAGGGCGAGGCTGCAGCCAGTGCTCCACCTCCACCCTCCGCCACGCGACTGCCATTGCCCTTCTTCCCAAAGAGCCCCATGAGAGCGGTTGCCACTGTAGTTGAAGTAAGAGTGTATGTCCCTTGGGTACAAAAAGTGCACCAATGCACATGATTGGTTAATTTCTGTTCCCAAGTAATATGATTGGCTAACTGATTTTGTACCCACTTCAAGATACGATATTCCGCTAAAGCCTCATTTCCGCTTTTGCAAGCAAAGTGATCAATCGTGAGGAGTGATGGTCACATCGGCATTCGAGGCGGAGTTGGCGTCGGAAGGTGCAACGGGCAGCGCTGAGGCGCAGCTGGCGTTTCAGGAGGAGTTTGCGCTCGCAGACAGCGTGGCGGCCAAGCTGCAGCTGGTGCACAAGACCTTCGTGCCGGGTACACCCGATTTCTGGTTCTACTCGTCGCTATGTACACTGCTCGAGGTACAGACACTACTGGAGACTGAGAAGTATGAGGCAGCGTGGCAGATGCTGGGAGAGAACAAGATGCAGCTGGAGACGGTAGAACGGGAGCTCACGGGAAGGAGCTGCTGGCGACGCTCCCAGCGTATCCACAGACGGCGACTGTTACTGGAGTTGGACCTGTTGTACAAGCTCAAGAGGCCACAAGAGGAGATTAAGGTGAGTAGAACGAGGTAGAACGGGAAGGGTAGAGCGATATACTGATGCTGGTTTCTGTCCTCGTGGTGTAGAATGCGACGCAACAGCTCACGACGGCGCTGCAAGTGAATTATCAGGACCCCGAGCCAGCAGGAGTGACGACGGAAATTAGAAAGGAGACGTACCCGACTGTACTGATGAAAGAATTGCTGGATCTTGATGCAATCATCGAGAATAGGCTGACCTTCCTGAGCTATAGCACGGAGAAAGATTCA